AGGAAGAAGCCGCAAGCTCAAGTACGAGATTTTTTTATCGATATCTACGCTTAATAGAAGTATGTTCACATCGTGTTTACCCTTTAGTACATAATACTTGTCGTGGAACGAGGCGGAAGAACGACAATGCTTGCTCCATGAGGAAACTCATGACTTTCATAAGTCTTTGTGCGTTTTCCGAGCGAGCTACCCGAGCACGAGCTGCAACTTGTTAAAATTCCATCGTGATTTCAGCGCGAAGCTGCGAAGGTAAAAGCACGTCGAAAGAAACGCTGCCAGCTCTGGGATAATCTCGTGGCTCGGATTATTGAGCACGTTTCGCACAAGTCCTTTTCCGTTTACTTCAGTAAACCAATAAACTCTAACTTCATTTCAGATAAATCCTCACGAGTTTCATGTTCGAAGTGTTTGACGTGGTAAAGATTTTCTTATCTGAAAGGCCTGTTAATGCGCGTGACCAAATTATTTGCATATCACAATATATTTTGTGATGTTCGAATGTTACAGAAAGGATTTAAAAAATAGTATAGTATCTAAGAGATAGTTTCCACAGACTCGGAAGGTAGTGCTCGGAAATTTCAGATTGTCGGACAGTTCGGATCTCAAGATCGTACATCAAATAGTTCAGATCTTTTGAGCCGAAGGTATGTTCGAATAGTTCGAACTGTTTGAATTCATTTGGGATTCTAAAGCTCGGAAATTGACACTTGCGTAAAGTTAACCGAAAACGAAAAATTAATTTGTGATGCACAGTATTTTTGTTTCAATTTTTTGTAAATTTGCAAACTATTCGAAAATCTTTAAACTATAAATTGACATTGCAGATCAATCACTGCTCACGCTTCAAACAACTTTGTTTCATTAATTTTTATTGCGAAACAGTTTTGTCGCGATGCAATCGCGATTGAATCGAAGATAGTTATTGCACCGTTTCGTCGTCGCGTCATCGTCGTTACAGAAAACCTGCACTCAGCGTGAATTTCCTTGAAATAGTTTTGTCGTAAAAGTTTATTATTCTCGATTGAAGAGCTTTCCACCTGGTAAGTTCGGACATCATGCAGCTTTAACCGTCTCTCGAATGTCGTGCGTTTTCAACAGGCGAGGGGGAAACTTGGACCCCGACTGAAATAGCGCGTAGAACAATCGGCAATGTTATCTCGCGTAAGATCTTGCTTGATCGAAATACCTAGCGGAAATGGTCGGTCCAACTGTTAACTTCTTCCCGTGCGCCTCGACGAAATAGTTTCGCTCGAACCCGATTCTCCCGCGCTCTCGTCGCGGTTCGCTGCAAAATGCAGATACAGCCGAGAAGTGGGGCGTAGTTTGGAAATGAAATTTTGCAGGAATTTATGATAGTTTGCACAATAAAAGTTACCGTACCTATCCGCGCAATCGTATCCCATGATAGAACTGCTGTATAACATATATAACGGAATATTCGTTTTGCCCTCTACGTACCGGGCTACGTACGATATATCGCGGGATAAAAATATACGACGGAATAACAAACGCAAATCAGAGTGGAGCATTATAGGTAATATAAATGCGACCATGTTTTTTCTCTGTATCCACTTCAAACGCCATTCGCGTTTATTAAGCTTGTACGTGTTTTTGATAATATGTTCATATAAATATAAGAAACTTTTACATTATCACTGGAATAGTTTCCGAAAATTACTTTAATGAGAAAATAGAAATGTTATTTTATATATACATATATGAATCTTTCTTTCATGATTTACAGATATAAATTTAAACTTGACATTTTCATGCAAATAGTTTTGAATGACTGTAAAAATTGTTGATGTTAATGAAAGGGGATATGGAACGCAAAATTTAAAATGTTCTATTTTAAACCCAACTATATAATATAATTTTAAACTAAAGTTATACTATTTCCACCTTGCGCTGTAATGTGATAATTATGCTCGTGCGGATATCATGTGCGTTGCGAGAAAAATCTATTTAACTCGTTAATTATAATTTTTGAAAAATTAGATAACGAGAAAAAAGTTGCTCATATGTTACGTTCGTGGTTTCTTTCTAACTGTCGGAGAATAATGATTATTACGTAAATAGCAGCAATAGAACAATAGAAAGCAAAGAAGCGAGACAAAGTGAGACAGGAACTTAATGAGAAACCATTGAATCACCTTTGGCACCGAAGGCTGCCGCCAAACGCTATTGCGGTTTCCGGCGCAGTTAAAGGTGATGAAGTGTGCTAAGAAAACACCGAAGTGCGCTGTGGAAAAGTAGATAGACAGACGCAGGGGCGGTTGCCTCTGAGGCAAGAAGCGCGACCCTTAATTTCGTTTCTCGTTAAATCGTTCTTTAACGAGAAAATAAGGCCGCCTTTGACTCGAAACTCTTGCAATACGAAGACGCGATTTCCCTGACGGTGTGTACGATAATGTCGAGTGAGATGAGACGTGGACATCGTAGATTGAAAGCGACGTTCTTTGTCGCAATTATCACTGATAGGATTCCAAATCTAATCCGTTAGAGTCATTCATCATTTCTTTGTCTCAGAAATATATATACTTAAGGTGCTTCAATTTAATCTCATAATTATTTGCGAAATAAATATACTGGATGATTCGTCTCATTAGACGTTTTACGCTTTAAGCTTACGCGGAGATTAAAGCGATAAGTATTTTAAAGTCAAACAAGATGTTAAATAGTTCCTACACATTTCACGTTTATTGTTATCTCCGTTTACATAATGCGCGAGTACGAGCGTTCATGTTAAATACCTATTCCAAAACTGTTCGCGGATACGTGCGGTGGCAGAAATTCATATTCATTAACTGCGAGCTGTTATGCACGAAATTCACGGTATATCTAGTATGTAATATATTGTGTCTTTCCAGCGCGGAGCCGAGTCGTGTTATTAAGCGCTCCGTGCCATACCGACACATGGGTTTACCTTAATCAAAGCTTGTTAATCAGTTTGATAACGACTTTCGGGAGACGTGCTTGCGAATTCCAACAGTTTCATACGATTCTCACTCACATTATCATTAACATGTCGAATGCTGCGACGGCCATCAGCATTGTGTCTCGTTGATGCACATACAAAATTTTACGTACTGTATTTAAAAATTATATATATATATATATGTATATATTATATGTATATTGCCAATCAAACGAGATAACAAGCATATTTATGTTGGCTATAACTTCAAGTAGCATTATGCAAAGATCAAGAACAAAATTTGAAAGTCTGGCCATTTATTGAATTTGACTGGAACGGGCTTGTATCTCAATAATGATTGCAAGACGGAAAGATTTTAGGCCATATTAAAAGTTTTCAGTCTCTCAACTTCCCACGAGAGATGCACAATATATAAAAACTCTCATCTCTTTCCCAACTTCAGCAAAGTGGGACCTGTAAAACCATTTATTCTGGCATTTTACCGTCGCAATGAATTTCGAGTTGCCCCGAGCCCGTTATTCATTTTTTTTTTTCATTCTCCGCCATCGTAGGCGCGACAATTAACACTGCGAAGCGTTTTATAATAAAGCACTTGAGGGCGTAATTAACATTGTCCTGTATCCAAGCTGTCGCGCTTAAAAGATCTAAAAGTAACTTGAACTTATCTCGAAACTCATCTCTCTGTTCTGTCTTTCGTGCTTCTCTCTCCACGATACTTTGTTCCTCCTATTCTATTCTCCTTTCCATCTTTCTATTTCCCGTTCTTCGTGCCTATGAATTCCGCTGCCCATAAATAATTCAGATGCTCGGTTCATCGTAAAGACATTAACAAAAGTATTATAAAAGGTATTTTAAAGCAGACAGGCCTGAATATCCTCAACTCATTACATCGTTGTAACGATAATAACTCCGCAATCAGGTCGGACGATATATTGCCTAAACACATGTGCAGGCGTGCCAGTATCAAATGTATGTAAGTGAATAATAGTCGAAGTGATTAATCAAGTGCTTAGCTCGCGACAAGTTTATCTTGATCAGATGCATGGTTGGCGGTAGAAAGGAACATTTATTAACATGAGCGATATCAAAATAATTGTCGATGTATAATACTCTTATATGTTCCTCGTTTTTTTCTAAAAAAATCACATTCCAATCTCGTACGAATGAAATAATAATATATCAATAATGACGAAAACTATGTAAAGCATGTTCGGCAGAATTTCAATAATCGGATTTTATATATATATATATATGGTATATAATAATTTAAAAAGTTGTCAAAAATTGATATATAAAATATCAATTCTGAAAAAAAATAATTCTAATAAAAACGTGACTTAGAAATTTGAAAGAAAATTCTTATTAATCCATTTTGGAATAATACGTCGGATTTTTTTCATAATTAACATTTAATCTCATAATTATCTACAGCAATGAGCATTAATCATTTCCATGCAAAATAACACATAAAAAATATAAATGAATAATGGGACCTTATTTTCTAATTAATTCACGCTGTATTCTGTTTTGGAGAGAAAAAATTAATGCTCTTAATGGCCGAGGCAACAGTATAATTTAACAGATTATGATAAATAGGTGCTGGTTGCACTAACATAATCAGAGTTATAAGACCAACTCTCTAGTTAACAATATTTTCTATCTCTATTTATACCGCGGGGTATAATTTAGAAAAGCACAAGAAATTGCTAATCAGATTTAGTTGGTTCACATGGTTGTTGCAATTCAACTTAGAAGTCTGGAATTAAATTTTTCCCTTCTGGGAAAATCTCTTTTTATATTTCTTGCAAGTGGCGTACATGTTTTTTAACTAAAATGTACATTTCATTCAATTTTAGGCACTGGAATTTTATACCATAAAATTTGGTAGAAAGCTTAGCACTTTAAAAATTCATATTTTCCTACGCGTTTATCGCGCGTTGTAATTAAATTAAATATAATAATGATTAAATACGAGAATGGGTGCAATTATGTTTCAATTATTATATTACTTTAATAACTTACTTTGTTTTGTTGCTGTGAAATATCTGTATTGTTGTTGCAGATCACGAATTGCCCCGATTCGCCGAGGAAATCCAGAATGTGACAGTAAGCGTGGGACGTGATGCTCTCTTGGCTTGCGTAGTGGAGAATCTACAAAAGTATAAGGTACTTTAAATTAAATCATATTTCTCCGTCTTTATTCCAATTTTATATATGTCATATGTCACGAACACCGTGATAATCATCTTTTGCCTTTATAATTCAACGTTTAAAATTATTCAGAAAATTTTATGAGACAACCTTTGGTATTATAAGGAACATGTTTAAAATTTAATTATCTTCTCGTTTTCATTATCGCTCTACGTGTCTGATTTCATGTGGGATATCGTTATCGTATAATTATTTTAGATTTTATCGAGGTGAATTTAACCTATCGATTAAAATATTTAAAAAAATTAAGGTCGCGAATCCATGTCAAAACTATAATTGAAAATGTCAGAAGTTCCTTAAACATTCTTAATTCTGCTTCATTATTGTTTTTGATTATTTATGTTGGGCGAAATAAGTGCAAATAAAAATGGAATGGAATTGAACAAACATCTGCTAACATAAACATTTTATCAAACATTTTATACGTATGTAAATGTAACTAATGTATCTCTTTGATTGCTAAAAGCACGTTAGCATAAACATTGTTAATATACGTGTATTAAACAAGGAAGGTTTTGTTAAGAAAACATTTTCGTGGCAAATTGCCATTAAGTAAAGTCGGAACTTTTTTATGCCGTTTCGTGTAAGCGCTTACACAAATTAAACGAAGATAATATCTGCTGAAATCCCTACGGCGTTTATGGTCCGTAGACTGCGAATTGGACGGTCCTAGTTTACGTACCGTTATCAAAGGCCTCGCATAATTGCTTCATTTTCCTTCAGTTAATTGAGATGACGTAACAATGAGATACAATTCATTCTGTTGAGTAGCGACAACACTTACGAACAATGTAGCTCGGTGTAAGCTAATAACACGTTTCTTCTTTCTCAAGATGACGATCAGAATCAAGTAGAACTTTATAAATTACTCTATGTCGTGAGCTAACCAACTTTATCCCCGCCGCGGATTTCCGTACATCTTATTAAGCGAGTAAATTAAATTTATACTCTTTTCCTTAAGCGCGTTTTCCTTTAAGCGCGAGTGTCTTTCGCTATATGTAATATAATCTGCGAGGTATCCGCCATGTCGTTTGAAAATTTAATGAGAGATGAAAGATTTATGTCCTCGTCGTTCGACGAGCTTTCGTACTCTCGCCATCCGCCGTGCATTCCGAGGAGAAAGCATATTTCGCACTCAAAAATTTCCTCCTGACGGCTTTCGACTTCACTATCCATTCATCATTTTTAATCGGACAGCTTTTGTAAGCGTTCTTCTATACACAATATTAAGAAATTGTAGAAAATTTTATTATAAAAACACTTTTATTCCATAACATAAGCATTTAAAAAATATTTTTATATCATTAGTTTCAAACTATGTACATGTATATACATGATTCTTTTCAGATAAATACGTGAAACACCAATTTGTAGATAAAGAATTACGATTGCAGCGATATTAAATTTGGAGCAAATCATTATCTGTTACTAATAAGAATACAATGAGAAATTATGCCAAAATAAATCATTTAAACAGTATGTGACGAACACTGCAAAATTGCATTCAACGTGAACGTATGCTGTTCATACATTTTCGCATTCCATGCGTAGTGTAGTCATGCATATATAAACACATAAATATAAATATATATATATATATATATTTGTACTTATGCATTACATATATACATATATATATATATATATATATATATATATATATATATTGTATATATGTAGAGATAAGAGCTAAAATATTCGGAGTAAGCTGATCTTTTCCACGAGCGATACTTTCCAGTCGTACTCCTGGAAACACGAAACATACTCGAGTTGCACTCGCGGTGAAAATTATACTGCTGTAGAATTCGCGGGACTTCGGGCATGTTTTGCATGCTCAAGAAACCTCTCAACCATATCGAAAACTCAACGACGAAAGTGTGCGAGAGACAGACAGTGGTAGGAAGAAGAGTGAGTAGTTCTAAAGCTCCGTCAGTTTCTCGAGAACATAGAAGCTGAAGAGCACAGTCTTATTCGATTATTAAGATAAGTAAGAGAAGAAACATTCAATAATGTACAAAATCACTGTCTCTAAACTGCAAACAAGAGAGATACATTATATGCGTCGAGATTCTTTAATGGAAAATTATATTAAAGCCTTTTATAGAGTATAGTTTTTCGAACAATGTGCAAAAGTAGGTATATTTCCGAATTTAAAATAAACATTTCACTTTAAACGGCGAACAAATAAATATCTGATTCCCACGATTTATCGCTTAACAAAGTTAGAAAAAAGTTTACTTAAAAAAAAAATGCTTTGGTGTTTGTTTCAGGTCGCGTGGGTGCGCGTTGACACTCAAACTATATTATCGATTCATAAGAACGTAATTACTCAAAATCCCCGAATTTCGCTATCATCCAATGACCATCGCTCATGGTATCTTCACATAAAAGAAGTCCAGGAAGTTGATCGTGGATGGTACATGTGCCAGGTAAATACAGATCCAATGAAGAGTCGCCAGGGTTACGTACAAGTCGTAGGTGAGTAATTCACGATTATTTAATGTATATAATTAATAGTTTAGGCAATGTCTCATTGATTACAATGTCTAAAGTATTAAAATATACGTAAGTATAATTATAGAAAAGTAAAATTTCTCCAACATTTATGTTACAGTACCACCATCAATTATTACGAAAGAGACCAGCACCGATATGGTGGTCCGCGAAGCTTCCAACGTGACGCTGACGTGCAAAGCGACCGGATATCCGGAGCCTTACGTCATGTGGCGACGAGAGGATGGCAAGAACATAAATTACAACGGTGAGAGTGGTGAGTCTCGATTAATTTACTATGAGTTGTACAAATAGCTGACCAACTAGAAATGACGTGTTATTCTCGCAGCTCAATATCGGATAAAATAGTCATGACTTCTACAACATCGTTAAAAGACATATCAATCAATAACACATCGGATGCAAAATGATGAATGACGTTAGATCGGTCTCCGTTAAATCGGTAACATTTGTTTAAATATGCATTGCTTTTGCAAATTTTAGTCGTTTTCAAAGTATGACGATATGGTTATAAAGTATCATTTCACTGAGTGCTAAACTTATAAAGTTCATAAGCGACGTGTATCTTTAATTTTCGCAAGCTTATATATATGGCCGATTATCGCAATTTTAAATAAAACAATTTAAATAATATAGAATTTCAGCAGCTATTCTTGACTACCACATTCTTGATTGCTGCCACATTCATTTGAAACCCATTAACGCTTTAATGCAGAATTTTAAAATTACATTTTAATATTTATAAAAATAACTATTTATAGAATAATAAAATTGGACAAATAAATATAACACAAAACAAGTATAATAAAGCTCTGTGGCAAAGCAACCCGCTAGCTAATAGGTAATATTACGACAATTAAAATCTTCTTTAGTTTGAAATATTTTATCAATTTGATATCAAATGCGATCATTACTTGAGTCGATAATATCAATTATCGATTAATTAGATCCATTTTTACGTACAATCATGTTTTATGCTTTATTTTTATTGAAAAGTAAAGTTGACGATATCATGAGAGATAGTGCATTTTTATCTATAAATAATATATTTACGTAAAAAAAAATCGCAATAACGCAAACAACTACATTTCTAAGCCAATATCATCCATCCATTACCGCTTCGTGCTTTAACGATCAATTATTCCTCTCCTGGTCCAACATCAAAATTCGGTCGAGTAAGCCGCGGCCGGAACGCAATTATTCAGGTGCGCGGTATAACCACTGCATATCGCCAAACTGTACTGTAATGTGTCCAAGAGTGCAGTTGCAGTTCGCAGCTAGTTCGGAGTTGGGGTTGATATATCGAGATATACGTATGCGTTGCACAGCAGAGTTTCTTCGACGTCTGCGCGACAAGCGAACATGCAGAAATCCTTTCATTTCGCATTAAGTTTTTAATTTGTTCCTATTTTTCCTTTTTGCAATAAGTAAAATATATACTTTTGTCATGATTATATATTTATGTCAATCAATTAAAGCCTCATAAGTACATTTTAATTCTGAAATATATCTATCGTGAAAATAATTTTAAATCTTTTATTCACAACTAGAATAAATTTGAAGCAAAAAATAAATGAAGAATTCATTAATCAATTATGTTAGTTTCCGCTGCAAGATGGATGTGACTCTGACATAAATAATGGATCGATGATAGAGGAAGTGTGGTATTCTCGTCGTCCTAATATCATGAGAGTAACCATATAGACATAAGAATTTCTCGTTTCCTTGAGTTTCCGTCTCGATCGATGCTAATTACCCTCTTAATTGCTAATTATGAAGAGGCCAAAAAAATACGAGACTGTCTGTCGATCGGGCTCGAAGTGAAAATGTACGGAAAGGCGAGACGTCAAACCGTCTGCAGATTCCGGAGGGTTTCCTCAATAAAAGATAAAAGTCGGATTTAATTTCTGCGCTAATTTAAATTTTCATTGCCTTCCGAGCATACGCCGGCGCTCCGTTCAGAGGATCGTCAGATCGTAAACCACTAGCCCATACTAAGCTGGCCGTATAAACTGATACTGATAAATATGGATGTCACGTTCTGATATGGAAAAATAGTCAATTACGTAGTGCGATCTACTGATTATCCGCTGCGATGTGCGATTTATTGTGAGCCGATAAGCTATGTATATAATTGGAGAGTTTTTGTACAATAGGTATATTAAGAATCGAATTAGCGCGCAGTATTCAATGAATATATGAGGAGTTCAGAGGAAATGTGGATCAAGTCCATTTTTGTCAATTGTTTGAAAAATAGTTCTAAAGTTAAAGTTGTTTTAACTGTGTGCAATATATACACTGTTTTTCATAGAGCTATAGTTTCTTTCCATTTTAACTTAAACATTTGTACTCACTTTTGAATCATTCAGTGAAAACTGTTCAATTTTTTTCTAATCTATAATATATATGGATTTAAGAAAGGACGGCTTTTTTTCTGAACCTCTCATATATAACTCATTTTCTTTTTAAATATTTCTTTATCACCATTTCTATTTTGCGTTCCTCTTGTAATTAATGTATTAATCAATCTGTCGATAGTTTAGATAATTTTAACAAATTCTTATTGATTCTTATTGATTAGATTTGTAATATTATTATATATTTGACAGCAAAAATTTAATCATAAATAATCGCTTACTATTAAATTCATTGCAATGCGTAACATATTAAATTATTAAATGATAAATAGTTGAGCCTCTCATTTCAATGTAGATTAAAAAACAATAGTTTTATTATTATTAATGAAACTGTGCTTGCATTCTCCAAAGGCAGCATTTTCAATTAATTTGTCTGAGTAAATTTATTTCACAAACAGCAAGGGCTTCTACCGTTTCCACCGTTAGTTCTGGTAAAAGCTCATATGCTTAAGTATTGTTCATTAACACGTAACCATCGTATCGCAGCAATTTGTGCTTTTCCCCGCATCGTTCGGCCGCTATTTTGCGATGCATTCGGTGGTGCAACGTTACCTAATTTCATCGTAAATGGAGGGTGACCATTGAATACGAATGTAATAGGGAAATTCGGTAACAAAAAGGAGAAAAAAGTTGTTTGTGTCGTAAGTACCGCGTTAACCAAATGTATTATTTTAAATTAAGAGAATAAATAACGTGAATATTGAGTAATGAGCGAGCATTTATAGATTTGAAAGTATCCATTTATACGCTCGAGAGAATTTGAAATGATAGTTAAAGTATAATGACATTTCATAACATTATAGTGTAAAAAGAGAATAAACTTTTATGCTCGCGTGCAATTCATGTAGCGTATGAATGTTGAGGGGTTTTAACACCTTTTAAAAGCTATGAATATTTTATTTATGACGAGCCATTACATACATCGTCTGTTTATATAAACTGCTTCGTTTCCGTCAACATTTATTCGCGTTGTTATCAATTATTTTTTTCATTTTCCTTAGAAAAAATGTGCAGGTTCGGTATTTGACCTTCCAAAGCCATTTGTTATATCGTAAGATTCTGTTGGAAACTTTCCGAACCACTGACATTTTTCTTAACCTTTAAAGGTTTCGTAAGTCTTTAAATGTTTCTTACTGGGATTAGGCTTGAGCGGTTCTTAAGAAAACTTGAAAACGGTCTTAATCAGTCAATCGGATATACTTATAATATCGTTTTCTTTATAAAATCAAATAAAATATTAAAAGTGTGTCTTCAGAAAAACGCAATATCCGATTTCTTGCAAGAACTACGCAAAGAACTTCATTTACCTTTTTATTTCTTTAATATTTTTGCTGAATAATTTTTATTACTTTTATAATTGCGAATCTGTGAAGCCCGCCATGCACCGATATGTAATCGATATCAATCGACACGGCTAGGCGCTTTCTGGCGAACCGACGATCCGTCATTCGGGAGAAGCGTCAGATTATCCGCGTAATTGGACGAAATATCGCGGTGGTGAATATGGCGCGTGTTCGGGCTGTACGACCGCATTACTAACTGATGTGTTGGCCTCTGGGGCACGAGGGACGGGCTAACGCCATTACTTCCCGCCTGATAGCCTCCAGACACCCTCCAACCCTCCGAGAAAGTATAGGTGGATGTCGGCTTCTCTTGCTTCTTCTCGAGCTGAAGGTATACTGCATCCGCGCTCAAGTCTGCCCTTTCGCCCGCCTCGGGGAACCGAAAAAGAATGGCCGAGAGAGATGAGAAAGCAAATCGAATTTAGCAAAACTATCGCGCGTCGAGGTGCCGCCGTTGAAGGCGGCGGAAGCGATGGTGGTGGTGGTGGTGCGAGGCACCTGCAGGTACGAGGGAGATTTACCTCCGGCGGACAGGCCGGAACTGATCGTGCGGAAGGGCGATGGCGAGGATACGAGGGAAAGATAAAGGAAGGCGCGGGCGGGAAATTAGAGCGCCGGCGGGGGCACGGAGGGCAAATAAACGACGAGGACGGCGGAAACGAATCGTCGCGCTACTCGTGTCCTTAATACGATCGTTCATAAGAGCGATAACGTCGCAACCCGGCGACGTCCACGTCGCCCGATCGGGAAAGGGATGGGGGGGGGGGGGACGGGCGGAATTGGAGTTGGATGCAGCTGCCAGACGAAGGTGGGAGGTGTTTCTCGCCCGCTACCGCGGGATGGGGTTTACCTGGCACACCCGAGCGAATCCTCCTTGCCTCCATAGTTATGGAAACGCGTATACGTCGACACTCGTCGGCGCCGTTTCGCGCACTTCGTGCCCGGAAAACGCGATTGGTTTTCCTTCACTTTCCTCGATGTACGGGTCCGCCTGGTCGCTACCTGTCCATCGCGTCCGTGCACTTCTCCATTCCCATCTCGGCGCGGACCGTTCCTTCCTTTTCTATCTCTCTCTCTCTCTTTCTCTCTCTCGGACGACTCTAAACTCGTTCACGCGGACAGATGCGCGCACGTGTGTACATCGCGCGACCATACGCCCACCGACACACCCACACGATTATCGCGGATCAATGTAGCGACGCGCCTCTGTGATTATATGTGTATACACAAGTCCGCGCACATATGTACTGTTCACCGACCGTTAAATGTATATACGTAAAGTCGCGGACGCGCTCGTACGCCTCCTCTCGCCCACCTGTTTATATCTACGAAGGAACGAAGAGAACCGGATAAATAGAGTAAGAGATAGAGAGATAGCGAGAGAGAGAGAGAGAGACACACACGTCGAGTATTTTCGTCACTGATACTCTCATGAGTTCTGGCAAGACTTCCCCGTTAATGCGACCACGGCTTGTCGACGCGAGGCCGACATAACGCGACGCGACTGGAAAATCGAAACCGACAACGAGCCGAGTTTCCCGCCGGTGTGTCGGGAGACGAACGTACAGGAGAATAGGAGCCGATGTGCACCGGGTATAAAGCACGGCGCAAAGTCGGCTATACCCTCGCACTCATTTCACGCGCGCACATACACACTCTCATTGCTCGCTTCGTTCTATATCGGTGACGAACGTACACACACCGGCACGAGCTAGATCGAACGCCCCGATGGCTGTGCGGTGGTACGCCAATGCTTGCGGTGAAGAGGCACGTTACGTTTTCTCGTTACCGTTTGAGGTTCCTTTGTGCCTTCCAAACCGCTGGTAAAGTCAGCGTTCAGCACGGAGTCAATATTATCTGAGAAATTTCTCGCTGGAAACTGGAATATAATAGCCCCGTCTTTCATCCGCTTTACGCGATGCTGCACTGCAAACGTAATTTGTCTTTCAAGCCTCGTGACGTCAAACATCCGTGACAATCGGTCGTTGATATCCTCTGAATTCGAAGCGGTAACGAGCGATTCCATTTCTCATCGCGCGCGCGTCTTTTGCAAGTTTTAACTCGGTCTCTGTGAAACCGGCAGACATTTGTATCTTCTCGCTGCAAAACATACGCGAGTGTATGGTACCAGAAAGTATATCAAATATGTATAGGTATCTTTTACACACACACATACATACACACACACTTATTTTACATACCTGATATTTACATGATAATATGCAAACTATTCAGGAATTCGCGTTTATATAATATTGAAAGAGAAAAATGGAATAAAGATTTTTTTATTTTCCACGTAAAAACAAACATATATATATACATATATATGATGAAAAATATATTTCACTGGAACATAAAAGGCATAGGTTAAAAAAATAAAAAAATATTGACTAACGTCATATTTGTTTTCAATATATCATTACGCTATTTGTCATAAATGCTGTTAACACGCTTGTGAAAACATTGTCGCGGCTAGCGCAATGAATAAAATGGAAATCACTTACGTACGTCTAGTCTAACATTCGCGGATACATTAGCAGCAATAATCGTTGGCCAAGGATTTCGCTCGGGAAATGAATGTACCTGGGTTATCTCACGGTTATAACGCGAAAAAGGGCACTTAAGGCTACGAGAAAGGGGAACGGGATGAAATATCTACGACCCATCCTTCGCTTATGGGCCGGAATACATCACGTACTAATTCCCAAATAGGTGGCCAACCCTCCACTTCGTCTTCGAGTAAGCTGTTCGCTTATTTTTACGCCGCTGAGAATACCGCGGGGAACGTTATGCAAAGCACGCCCTCGGTCGCATCGACGTGAATGGACGTTAATTTATTTCGGAGTTCTTCCATGCGCACGCCGCCGCCCTTACGCATTCACCGACGTTTAAAGCGGCGGATGAGCTCTGAAAGATTTCACGTCATCCGCAGACGCGTAATGTCCCGTGAAAATTTCGAAACATTTTCACCAGGACGCGCAACGCGTTGAAACTTTATCAAGTCCGACGATTGGAAGCCAATTTTGCCGAAGTTTAATAACGTTATAGCGAGAACGCCGATCTTTCTAGGTCGACGCAGGCAATATCACGTATAGTATGTCATGTATGTGTCTATAACTTCGACACGTGAACGTGCGCATATAATACGTATATATCTGTTCGTAACGAAAAAAAAAAAACAATAAAAATTGTGAAAATCAATATTTGAAGAAAAATGTTTGAATAAATTTAAAAAAGAATCATTTTTTTATTAACGGTATTATTTATAAAGTAACACGACGTGACGATTTGTGACGTCACGCGATACGATAATAGCGCGGTCTAATCTTAACTAGCATCGATCGCCGTCCTACTGTGAAATAACGGATCGCCGCGGTTTAATTGAGTTACATCGATCGCACGGAGAGCGATAAAATTGGGGCGTGCCCGAAAATAATAATTGTCCGCATTTTCCTTTGTTCGCGCCTGCCGTGGCGCGTCCGCCGTGAAATTCCGCCCGGCCGAGCCATATTGCGGTTTCCCATTAAGCCGAAAGTTTTAAAGGTTCCCGCTAAACCGGTAAGCGGGTAGTTCCGACACAGGGCCTGCGGGACTACTTGATTAAAACCCCCTGAAAGTGCGACCCGCCGGCAGAATCTCCCGGCACTCTGCATTGTTTATGGAACAATAGATAGGTTTGCCGCGCAGCTTGTAACGCGGGGTTAGCTACCAGGGATTCAGCACTCTCTCGCATCCTACTGCTGGCCGAGTAACAACTTTATCCTTTTCACCGCTTTCACCGCTGCATCACTTGTATATGTTGCTTTTTCTTTCAGCGGTAAAATCTTCAGCTACATCGTCAACGAGATTTTAATGACTTGCAATTTATGTTTTATCCGACGTGAATCTTGTAATTAAAATTAGGAATGTATGAAAACATGTAAAGATGATAATTCTACGTAATGATATGTTTATACGCAAAGTATATGTATTTTACGTGATGTACGAATATTGTCATATTTGTCAGAAATATTCCTCTTTTATTATGCAGGATTACGTTGCATGTATAAAGTAATTAAATAATACTGAGATCATAAGAGAGGAAAACAGAATACAATATTCTTACACATGGAAAGGATCCGCAAAGCTGAGTGACATGTTTAAGAGCGTCACGTAACTTGTTCTTATAATATTTTACTACTTCCATACGAGTAGTCGAACGCGCATAAAGTTTCTCGTGGCTCACGATGCTTTCAACTTTATTGCAACTTAAATAGATTTTCCACCGTCTTATATGCTGTTTCTTTACATTTTCTTGATACGTCAAGTATCAATTGAAATTGAATGGCAGCGAGAAAGTGACATTTCTATCATTTCGCGAATTGTTGCACTTCAAATAAATTGAATATAATAAAGTATCACGACAACAATTCGAAGGCATTTCTTCGTAGAAGCATTAAATCAGTTCCATTGAAATGAATTTCACATATCAATCTAAACTTTCAACTAATTATCATTGTGGAATAACATATGAATTATTTATTATAATAAATAATTCATATATGAATTATGCAATGTACAGCATGTTGAATTGTATAATATAATATGTATATATATATATATCGCCTAGAAAATGGTTCAGTCGATACAAATAAAATATGCGAGACATTTGTTGAATATATCGCAAATCATCCAGATGAATACGTATCGCACGTGCAATCTATTGAGTGCCGACAGCAAGGTGGCATTGATCATTCTATCAAACACAGCAGTTTCTCTGCTAATATGAGAATTTGCTTTACACTGGCCGCGGTCGAAAACAGGTCGATTACACGGATAACCTGTGTAAACGTTCTCGAAATGAGAATAAAGGTCCATTTGACTGAAATGTGCAGTCTGTTTGCATATGGTATTATCATTTATGACGTATGAATGAAGATAAGCGTACTGCTATCTTCTCAAACGTTAATGTAAAATAATCCGCTAACATCTTTGCAGATAAATATAACAGTAAACGTGTTGTAACAGATGTTTGTGAGTGTAATCACTTTGTTAATCATATCGTACGCGGGAAAAAGAAACATATGACTTTTGAGTGCACTGTATATAAAGCGCATTGTTATCAAATAACGCGCAATTTGCATTCATGCTTTGCTTTGCATACCGAGCGGCGTAACTGAGATCTGCACGCGACAGAATCGATGCCAATAATGCGATTATCAGCACGCAGTTGTCTTTAATGTCTAAGCAGCTCTTACGACAAAGTGCTGGCGCGTAGCTCGCCTTTACTTTGCGCCTTTGTAAAGTTTAATTTACCTCCTATCTGCTTTATGTGATCTGCGCCAGTCATATCAACCAACACGCCAGAAATGAATGCAGCGTAGATGCAAATAGCTCTCCGGGAAGGCGCAAAGTGCTCTTTGTCACACGACATGCAATAAAAGTTTCAACGCATTTATGCGCATCGCGCTTTCAGCGGCCTGCGCTTCGGCGTATGCTACCTCCTTTATCAACATTATCGATATCCACGCGCGTTTCGAAATAATCGTGGTACGCCGCGTTTATTAATTCGTGAGAAGAATTACAACTGCGACGAGTTGTGTTTGCCGAATTATATGTATTACGCATTGTACAATAATTACACAGAATGTGATGTATATGAGAATTTTTCAGCAAACTAACATTTATCATGCAAAACAGGTTTTAATCGAAAAATTTTGTTTAATTCAACATTCGAGTATTAATTAATTATTTGTAGATTTTATAACACAGTTTAGGAACTGTATTTTCATTTTCATAATATTTCCAATTTACTTGCAAATATTTTATCTTATAGTAAAAATTGGTGGAATCATTGAAATAGCATAATAAATACACTTTCCTGAAGCTTGCGCAGTTTATATGCTAATATACGTGAACATTTTATGTTTCAGTGAATGTCGTGGATGGCGAAGTGCTGCATATAGTGAAGATAAGCCGCCTTCACATGGGGGCTTATTTATGCATAGCTTCAAACGGCGTTCCACCATCGGTGAGCAAGCGAGTCTCGCTACGCGTACAATGTAAGTTACTAATTTTCTCACATTATCAGAGAATTTTCCTCACGTACATAAACATTTCTCGCAATTTGTCTTGCAAAATTGGATATACATCAACGTAATATGAATAATGGATGAAATTTTTAACGGAAAGCATGAATTGCATGCAATGATGCAATTTTTAAAAAAAAAAAAAAAAAAAAAATAATATTGAAGATTTTCCATACAGTTTAACATTTATTTATAAATACAGATCGGGGAAACATTTCAAAATATTCGTAAAGTGATGACTCTGTGCCCATTAACCTAACGAATTCAGATAAAACCAATAGTTCGTAAAGTCAGCGATTTTAATATTGATTTCTCTGATTGAAAAAGTTTGTGGGAATTATTTTCCAGCGCGAGTATCGAAACTGAACCAATCGAAACTTCGGAGGATCGCGTCGGATGATCGAACATAGATTAAAACGTCTGTACGTGATTGTTTATACACATACCTTAAACGTGCATATACCTTTATATATATATTTTTTTTTAACGCTAATCAAATCTAATTTAAAAACATTTTCAATGAATTATTATATACGTACATATGTTGTAAATTATACATTTAAAACTGAAATTAAAATTATTTTGATTTTAGATTATCTTTTCAATATAATCTATCAAAGCGAATATTTTTTGAAAAACAAATATTCAACGTGCGTAATCATGGCTGTCTTTATTCCAATATATTTTTTATGCGAATATCAATATCAATATAAATATAAATATCAATTTTGAACATATACGTTTTTAAAGACTCATTCGGATTTGGATTATATATATTGATTTCACATCAATATCATTCTATTGAATACTGAATTTAACGCTGACACTATCGATTTCTCCGTATATGTATGCCATTAGCGAAAACCACGGTGTCATCGTAATACTATGCACTTCGGTATTATGATAAGAGCAGGATAAAACTCAGGAAGGAACGACTATTGTCGCGCAAGAATGCCCGCGTATTTTTCTGTACAAGAAAAGATGATAAGAAAGGATGATGGAGAGAAACCCGTTTTTATCATGCCTCCCCGATTGCAAGGCGCGCATAACTTCGTAAATGCTGGTCGTTGGAAGCGGTAAAGTACGATGTCGGAAATATTATACTTTTAATGAACTCGACGTGGTTCATAAACGTTAGAAATGAAATAAAGCCACTAGTTTTCTTTGATACATGGCCTACACCAATATCGTTGCTCATGATCTAGTTTTTATTAATCTCTCAACGTCACGCCAACCGTATGTTATATTGAGTCTTTAATAGACATTACGAGCACTTTGTAGCTCATATCACGTGTGAATGCGAGCATTGTAGTTCACAATATGTCATTTATTAATTGGAAATTATATTCGAAGAAAAATTCTCCCTCGGATTAGAAATCAACATTTTTTTAGTATTAATTGCAAATACAAATAGAAATATATTTATTTGAACAAAAGATAAGAAGACTGATTAAATTTGAAACTCGTCATCGCTGCAACTCAACGAAGAGTGGCTTGTTCTTTATCCACGGAAACATCGTCACGATGCGCCATACATTAGGTCGATTTTCAACGTCTCATTTAGCCACCAATTTATGGGCGGCTACTTGACCCAGATATGGTCGATATACGTCCGCACAACCATTTCAACCCTTTCCCACCCACCGACAATTCTCGGGCTCTACTCAGTTTGGGCTGTGAAACGCGTCTCCGCGACGACCTTTCTGGCACATTAGTTTCTCGCTTCTACGCCTTCGCCCTCTCTTGGGCGAACACAAATATTAATAATCGCTCGAGGTCATCCTTGAACAACGATTTCGTACGTGGGTCACGAATTGCGACAACTTTTTGATCACTTACACGCGACCCATGTAGGGTTTTCGCTTAGAATTTCTCATGTATTGTTTATCGTACAGCATATTGTGCTATATGTTTCCGAATGTTGATCTAACGACGATGCACCGCGCATGATAAATGGACGAATATTATTTACGCATGGCGTGAATTAATATCGGTCGTGTATCACAAAGATACATTGTCAAACAATTTTTTCAGCGACTTTAGCGTATCAGATGTCGATTATCACGGATTGTGTGCGCAATTTGTATTTCCCAAAGGAAATTCCAACCATATCAATATAAGTAAAATCTTTTAAACACACAGATAAAGGTTATATTTTCGAAAAATATGTTGAATGATGTGCAATCAAAATGTAGACTTGCTTATAACCCGTAGATTTATCGATAGCTCAGCAGGATGGTTGGAAAAAGGAGATAGATGGAAAAACTATCCTCCGTAGCTCTGTCGAAAGTACATCCGCTGCTAGTAAATCGCGATTTACGCTCGTTCGTAAAAGATGAAACTATGACATGATGCTACCAGTATCGAGAGTATCGATCGAAGGGGAATCAACTGCATATTTTCGCGATACACCAATATCAATTGAGGGTCTTTATATAAATTGATGCTTTTTTTAAAAAAAAAAAGATGTGTATAGTAAGGATCAAGCCTTTTGATTTTGCTGACTAGCTAAATCAAAAGTTGATTTCTTACTAAATCAACTAATTAACTTTTATCAAAATATCAACTTTTTGCAAAAATTAAAAGTTTAATTTAAATATCACTGAGAAAATTCAGATTGCATAAAAATAAAAAATTTCTGTTTCATTAAAAAGTTCTTAAAGTATAGTTTTATTTTGCATATACTTTTCATCCTTTTCATTAAACCATCTTTTTCATTAAAACAGTGGATAAAATAACAGCAAATAAATTAAAAAAATTTTTTTTAGTTATAATATAAGTTATAAACTCTTTTACAAGTCCTCTGTTGAATCTCCAAACATATCAGTAGAAGCTGGCTTGTGAAAAAGCCAACACGCAGCCCACATTGCATGCAACTGCATGCAATTGCTTATTTTCAGACAGTGCTTTTAACCCCCATAAAAAGCAACTGTTTTGACAACCCCTGAAGCAACTGCAACTGTATGTAGTTGCATGCGATGTAGACTGCGTGCTAGCTGTGCTTTTTCGCAAACGTTTCATAAATTTTCATCCAAAACGACTTATAACTTGGAAGGAAGGTTATTTCTGGACACATGTTTATACAAACTTTCTACATTTTTCATGTTTTAATGAGTCACATTTAATGAGTACGTTCACATGTAATAAATTTATGCTGCTAGTTGACCTAATTATTATTAAATAAAATGTTTCTTTTCGTTAAATAATTACTTTAAATTGTGCATTTTTACATGCGCTAGTTTATTCAGATTGCTAAAATTAATTTAAACCATTAATGATATTTTATTTATTATTATTTTTTTTTGTATTGACATTTTTGCAATACAAAATGTTTATATATATGTGTGTTTAATTTACGTAAATTTAATTTATACTTTACAGTTCCACCTATGCTCTCTATACCAAATCAGTTGGAAGGAGCATATATTGGACAAGACGTTACTCTCGAGTGTCATACCGAAGCTTACCCGAACTCGATAAACTATTGGACAACTGAACGCGGCGATATGATAGTCTCTGGTAATTAAAACAAACTGATATATATAAGTTTTTTGCAATTTTTACATATCTGATGAGTTTTATTATATTTATTGTTCTCGATTTTGCAAAACAACTTAATAATTAAAATAGAAAAACTTTTTAATGTCTTTTAAATATAACTTTTCCAACTTGTTACCTTTGGTATTATTAATTAATTGATAAATAATTATTAATGTAATCACGAATATGCAATGTCCTTAAATATTTGTCTTGGTTTATTTATTGAAATCTATAAATAATAGTTACTTATAAAGAAATTTTAATATTTCAAGAGAGATTAAACAATTTACGTAACCTAATACGTTAAAATTTTATCTCTTTATATAATACACGAAAACACAAAATTTATATATCTAAAAGTAAATTATTATTAACAGTTTTCAGTGCACACAAGTCAAGTATTATAATTTGATAAACATTAATAATAATGCTATTTTTGATCGTATAATTTTGCAATTCTAATTTTAAATGAGAAACGGAGAACCTGGTTTTATTGGCACAGGCAATTCTGTTTCAGGCGACAAGTATGAGGCGGTATCCACCGACAGCGGCTACAACAAGTACATGATGCTGAAGATAAGGAACGTTGGCCCGAAAGATTTTGGCTCGTATAAATGTGTCGCACAGAATTCTCTTGGCGGAACAGATGGCGTTATCAAGCTAGACGGTAAGTTGTACAACAATTAGGACAACGTATGTATATTTGATACGATACAAGGGAATAAAATTAGATAAAAGAAAAGATATCTTGACATATTGAAAACATTTGGCATTAAAAAGTATCGAGCAAGTGCTCTATAACAATGCGGTTTATTTAAGATCGATTATTCGAAGTCGACGTCCGCGCGCTAATGGTGAAATAATTGGTTTCCAATAGTCAGTTACTTAAAGATATTTGAGTCTTCGTCGTTAACGAGCGATGGGCGAGGTCGAGCATATTTCTCTTGTGAGCATCAACTATAATTGCCCATTAAATTTGTGCTAAATATAGACATCATATACAAATCTTCTGCATCGTATGCAGAAGTTTATCAAGAGTTTTGAACATTGCTATTGTTAAATGGAAATTAATGTGAATGAGAAAAGTCTCAATTCTTAACAATACATAAAAGCGGAGTAAATAAGTATAATAAAGCGCGAAAGTTTGTGAGATTTAACTTATTTACCATGATGCAGAAATCCCAGCTCCATCCACAACATCTACGACGCAACCACCGTATTATGCAACATCATCGCACAAGAACGGTAATTAAAGCCACTTTTTGAACATTTATATTTTTCTTCGAGTTATATCTGTGATATAATCGATAAGTACGTACAATATAAGGCAGTGATTAGAAAATTATGTTGTAATCAAAATTGAGCGGTAACACAGCATTACTTTAAATGGCCGAAAACTGTGGATTTCGAAGTATTAGGTAGAATAACGTCTTGTCATAGGATCGAGAGCGAAGCCACCGACAGATACTTATTTCTCGATTCCTAAATAAAACCATCTATTTCCATCCCTCATCCGCGGCAATCGTACAGCACCAATGTAAAACCGCCTTTGTGTAATGCATTTTAGGTAAAAACGGTAACAAGAAATCACGAGTACGACCTTTCGACTACGAGGTCGAGGAATGGCGAAATCCAGGTCAGTAAATATCTATTTTAACACGCTCCGCGTAGAGCCCAGGCATTTCCCACGACGATACACATTCCAGCCAACCGCGATGTCGTTCGAGTAATTAGCGTAATTAAAACCTCGTCAACGCTGTACGATCGGGGGGCCAGGAGAGGAAGATCCTAAGAGAGAAAATCCACTAAATTGGCAATGCTCGGTGATCCACTTTATCCGCGAGAGAATTACTTCGTCGCGTTACTCGGCCCCTTTTATTAGCCAGGAAGGATTCTGCGGTCATTCCCTCCGCTGTCGTAAAATTCAATGGAAGCATATACGTTAAGTAACTGTTTAAGTTTCATGAATAAGAGTCAATAACAATGCAAAATTTTTTGCAACTTTATGCGCATCGCAGACACAATAAATATAATAAAAAATTGAAAAGTTTTTATTAAATGTCTTGTCCAATTATGAAGAACAATAACTAACAATTTTTCTTTTTAATTAATTTTTTTAGTATTCTAGTAAATAATAATTTTTTTCAGTAAAATATTTTTTGTAAGAATTATACTTGCATTATAATTCTGTACACATAAACGCACGGTTGTGTTGCGCTTTTCTACTACAAATTCGCTCGTGTTGATCAGGTTAAGCTGTGAGGGATTATAAGATGTCTTTCGTAACATTTTCGTTTAAGTCCTTCGTACAAGTTTACTATCCCCAGATTTCAAACTTCGGCCACAGTATTCGTTGATGTATTCAGTGATGTATTCAGTGATGCATCCAACCGTATCTCACGCATCGACAAACACGAAAGAGTTATTTGTGTAATGACTGCTGCTTTTCATTTAATGCTTTTAATTGGGAAATATTTTATGTATTTAAAAAATTATCACATACATTTTAATATCTATACATGTCGTGTGGTATGTTCATTGACTCAGATTTCAATTGCAAAAGGCGGATTTTGCACGTTAACAACTTCAGGTTCTTCGCAGATTCTTATATTATATAAGCCAGCTGGCGGAGATTGGCGGCAGAATGCAAGTTCAAAACTCACTTCAAATGACTTCGCTCAAAGATTCCCCCGAGCGTTGGGCCCGTTCTCCCTTCCTGAAGTTTACTTTCAATTAATGAAAAACGAGCTGCGTTGACCCGCGGCCGTCTGCTGCCTCCGGGATCAGAAAGTGGAAGAGAGGAAATGGAGAGAGGCAAACTCCTCCGTTATTTTCTTTCTCTCTCCATGCTCTCGCTGTCGCCTTTTTCTTTCCTTCTCCAAAAATCGATTGACTTCGAGCGTGTCGCTTCATACACACAAATTACGATTAATGTACTGTTTCACTGATACTCCGCACAATTAATCGTATCGCATTTATATCGTTCGTTGTGCAATGGATCGATCGATAAAGGCTGTCTTCGACAGGTCTCGAAGTTATTGGATCGAGTGATTTGCAGCGTTTATCGCAACTAATCAGAAGTTGTTCGGATACGTTTGAACAATTTCAAAGCCACCAAATATAATCAGTGGCAAGGGGAATGTACAGACTGAAGCGTCAGTAAAGATGTTGTTAAAGTGTTGGAAAATGGTTCGTCTGTCGCCGACCATGCGGAAAGTCACGTACAGTGGATTTTACTGGTAGGTGGGAATAACTTTTTCCGAACGGACGTGCGGTTTCGACGTCCGTTTCTGGCGGGCGAGCCAAGGGGCACGATGAACTACTCTCGAGAAACGCCCTGCATTTGGGACGACTATCCGTTAGGAAAAAAGCAAAAAAGGACACTTTCTCGAGTCGTTACATTCCGGCTTTTTGGAAAGAACAAATTTTGTTAATATCGTTCTAAATGTTCCACCAACTGCGCGCAAAAACTATAGAAAAAACATTCATCGGGAAATATTAAAGATCAAATTCCAATTTTTACATTTGTAAAGTGAATATTGTGTTGTCACAACGATTATCGATATAATAGAATTTTTTCAATTTTTATCGAAACAATTTAATATTGAAGCTAATCAAACAAGTAAAAGTTAGGCTTTATTTTGGTAATATCGCTGTTAATAAGTGTAATTTGTTAGAAGAAAGCGGGCCCTAAATTATTCGATAATGCCGTGAGTGCAAGTCATTAAAGTGAATCGGGGTCGTGAAGTTTTATCGCGGCAATAATCGTACATTCTGATGTATGGCTTACCGTCATTGATATATTCGTTTCTATAACATTACTGACTATACATTAGCGCCACAGGTGGCGATGTTGATTCGACTTCAATTCATTTATCAAAGTTCGGACAATCAATAAAAGTTACCGTCAGTAAACGTGAGTTTAATCGGATAAAATGGAGCTTTTTCTAAAATTGCATGCTTTCCGTTTACTTTGCGTAGCAGATATGTTTTCCGAAATTTAATTTTTTACTTCCTAGATTGATGTGTTTATAATTTTATTTCTTTTAATAAATTCGTCGTCAAATCTGTCATTAATTTATATCTCGTGCAACTTTGCATATCAAAGTCTGTCAGTTTTCTTCATCACTATTTCTCTTGATCATTAAACAGTATTATAACATAATAATAAGGCAGATATAATTATTTTATTTACAAAATCAGATTAAAGTATTTTCTCGCGGATGTAGAAATTTGTTGAAACAACCTTATTAAGGTTTAAGGAATTTAAGTGTTCTTAAGCTCCGCAAACTCAATATATCATGACACGCTTCGCGTAGCAGCACTTGGCTACGTATCTCACCGGTGTCTCATCGCTCTTCTCGCCACATAACAAATGAAAAAGCTCACAAGACACATCTGCGAATTACTGCAGCGCCACAATTAATCCAGTAACATTTCATCCGGCGTTTCTTTGACGGTAACGGCTGATAAGAGCCGATTTAACAGACGTCGGATGTATTTAATCTCAAATGAATTTACTCTTCCTGCGTTCTCGGGCACGCCGCTTCTCATCGCCGAGGGTTTTATCTCGTTAAAAAGGGATTTGCGCGAGTTGAACATCGCAGAAATTCCGGCAGAACCGAGAGTTCGCTCGAATTTAATTCCCGGACGCGCGTATAGTCCCCCCTCTCGTTTCGCATTATCCGCAACAACTCCTCGTATTTATCTTCCGTATCCGCTCGTTACTGTACGTGCATGTATACCACCGCGTCGAGAACGAGGCTACCGAGGAAATGAGCCGCCGAGCTTGACGATTTTCGCGTATGCTCAAGCGACACCGGCTATTTGTTCCGGGCGTCGCGCAGCTGGCAAACGGCGGTATAGCGCAGGGTGTTACGTGAAAATACGGCCAAGAAGTTCGTCCAAAACGTGGTGTCGACGGTGGTGGTGTTCGCGGTCAGTGATACAAAGTGCAGACGGTATTTCGGTGGTCGTCTGCCTTGCGGCCAGTTCCATTAGCTAAGGCGAAAGAATATTAGCTTTCAGTCAACGAATAAACTTTTCCTTTTATTAAAGCGACTCGTTTTTCCTTTACTATCTGGGGCTATATTTCTGTCAGATATGCAGTTTACGTACATAGAATTCACGCTTGCGAGCGAGTGAAGGACTCAGCTTTCAGATATATAAGTAATATACAATAATTTATATAATAAACGAGTAAAACTCCTTTTTTTTTTTGGAGATTTCCTCGGCTCTCATCGCCATTTTCAATTGTCCCATGCTGCTCGTAGTGGAACAACCGCAGCGTAGTTTTGTCTGTTTCTAGACTACGATAGGGACTACGGTCAAGCATCGATGAGGCCACCGGGTGAACTGCCGGACGCTCAGAGCCCGGGCGTATCCCATCGAGCGCAGCTCGTCCTTCATCTCTCTCTGAGCCTCCTGTCGTTGCTGCTTCCGGCCATCAGAAGGTGATTCTCACGTCGCGGGAACGGGGCTTCCAGTTCTAGTGTTTATTGGTCGGTGACCGGACCGGAGACGGCTGGTGCGCGCGCGATCACCGGTTTTCGGTGCGCCGTCTCCGGACAAGTGACGGACGAGTGCGACGATGCAGGCCGCGCTTGAAATTATTTTCGTACTAAAACTAAACTTATACAGAGAGCAAAGAAAATATTATATATATATGAATTTAAATATGGATATATAATATGGTCGTATAAGTATGCGGTGGGTACGAAGCTGCGTTTAGACTTTCTCGACTGATCGGCGCTCGTGTGTCGCCCAGTGAATCGCCTTGGTTATCCCGTGTGGACGAGCTTTTCGCGTTCCGACCGTCTCGCGATGATCTTTCCTACGGAATCTCGAGAAGAGATGCTGCGGTGCAAGTATTGAAAGGGACTCGTCATCCGCGATGTCTTTCTACGGGGTGATTCTTCGCTGAGTATTTCGGAATACAAGAACGCCGAAATTTTACGCTGGAAACTCAGGAGATCTCGATGAGTAAGAATTCTCGCCCAGCGTGTTCACCCCTTCTTTTCTACTGTATCGGAATGGCTAGATTAGCGAAGCTTGATATCTCGGACACAGTTGAGACGGTAAATCTTACGACGCTTCGACAAAATTGTTCTGGTATGGATATTTCTCTTGTAATAATACGCGGCTTCCAGAAATGTTTTGATTCACGATCGGCGGTCTATTGATGTAACGTTCCCCGAATACTATTCAACTATTCATAATTATTGTCTGAATGTATTTTTCACTCATATTCATTGGATTCCAATATGCTGTGGTAAACAATATTTTATGTATTTTGCCACGATTCGCCAAGCTATTCAATAATCATTAGATGCTAATTCATTGTTTCCGTTCTGTTGGAAAAAATCGAAAAAATTCAACAGACCTTCTTATTATTATTTTTATTTGACGTATGCATTTTTATCATATCACGAGGAAGACACGGGAACTGTATTCAGTAAATATATACGTACGTATAAGACGGTAAACAAAAGTATAAATAAACGAAAAAATAAATATATATATATATATATATATATATATATATATATATAT